TCATCGTTACTTTCCATCAGGTAAGATGGAGGTCAAATGCGCAATTACATTTGTATAAAAAAAATAGTACTGTTGCATTAAACCTATTAGCGTTCTCGTTTAGCACCTTAGAAATTATTTCCTAAGGTGCTAAACCATCGTCAAAGGTGCAAACCCGATTTTAAAATCAAATAATGTATAAACTATGTAAAAATATACCTCGACGTTTCAGAGGTGTTGCAACGTCCGTGATCTGGAAGGAACCCTTGGATCCTTTATCCGTGATCTCGAAGGGACTGCGAGACCATGGTAAATAAAATATGACACGATTAAGTCCCGATATTGTAAAAAATAAATGGGAAAATAAATAGGGAAATAATATGGGAAAATCGCGATAGTTTAAATCAATGTAGTAAGCAAGCGATCTAGGTTATAAACAAATTGGCTCTAAAGCCCTTCAAATTAGTAAAGTTACTGATATTCGATCTTCAAGCTGTTTAAAAAAAAAGTTAAATAAAATATGAGTCATATTCAAAAAAATGGTTTTGACGTTCACTATTTCCAAATGACAAATGGTCAGAGCAATTCTGTTTGATCAAATTAATAAAACAAATGGACGTAAAATAAAACATTCTCTGAATTACAGCTTTATAAATTATGTACTAGAATAACTGTCACCAAACCAGTTTCATTTAAGTCATAATTTAGTAATGCCACAGTAAAGTGTTGCGGAGTAAACACTTAAGCTATAGACCTAATCAAACAGATGAGAATATAATTATAATTTTCATCACCACCTTCTGGAGTTTCCATTAATAAATCTACGTAATACGTGAATTATACTTAATCTATTGCGTTGACGCAATGACCAGTTCCTTCGAAGTGTTAGAAGATAGATTGGTCACTGGCATGATCATACCAGTATCTAACGAAACCTACTTCAACACAAAGGTAATAATTTATAACTTGTTTAAAAAAAGAAAGAGCGTTTCAGCTTTCTCAGGTCCAAGATAAGCCCTATCTCTCTCTCGTTAGGTCACTGTTATTTTTCCCATCCTCCAATTCCGATTTTTATTTTCACTCTTTCACTGTTTATTTATGCGTTACTTACTGTAACAAACAATTTTGTATAATAATAACGTATTCGACAATTACATTATTACTAACAGTAGAGCTCCTTGTGAAAGAGAAGTCCAGGGAAGTACTGCCACCTTACCTATTTCTGCCGCCAAGCAGTAAATATTCCATTTCGGTTTTGAAGGGTAAGGGTGCTGGTGAAATTACAGGCACATGGGATTTGTGAACTTGCGTCTCAGGGTGACAGGCGCAGTGTTAGTGCCTCTAAAATCTTTACGATTTATAACTGTGAGTGGCACTGCTACAATTATGGACAGACGTGTAGCTTACCATCAGGCGCACGACTTGTTACTGTGACTAACCTCTAACTGTTGTTGTTGTGACTAACCTAACTTAACTTAGATAAGGGTGCTGTGCAGTAATGCTACTTACCTATGTTTACGTTTTGATAAAGTGGAAACCAAAGAAGCAACCTCTTTGTGCGTATGATATGCTGTACCACCCGCCGGACTACGATCCGAAAATGGCGCGAGCCGACAGACAATCACCCGAAATTATTAGAAAAAATATCTGGAACCAAGTGAGTACCTATTAATTGCCGTAAATGTACGGGGTTAAGTATTTGTAAAATACTAACAACCTCCCAGGACTATATTACAACAGTACCACCAAGCTATGATGGCCGTTTTGACAGATTACAATAGTGAGGTCAAGTCTCAATTGATTATCGAAACAAATATAATCAAATGCGTTTATAACTAGTATTGCAAGGGGTAGCTGATTAAAAAGTTTTAATAAAACGAAAATAAATATGTTCACTTAATATACCGTCAATTCGAAACTGCTTTGTTTTGCACTGAGCTTTGACGCGAGTTTGCCGGAGATAGAAATTGTTCTAGCCAGAGATTCCATAAGTGGCGATCGTATGAGATTTCATTAAAACGAAAGATGCACAAAACATAACTTTTCACTTCACTATAGCGAGGTAAATGGTAGATGGAATAAAAACAGTTGAACTATAACCAGGGATCGGAATAGGTAGAGTTACTTTACCTAAACTTCGAGGAACATAGACATAAAATGGAGACTGCCTTACGACTATATTTTTTAGTTCCTGGAGCTTGTCGGGATTCGTGAAATCACTTAAGAACATTAAAAATTGACGTAATTGGGGACAAGCAGGTACGCTATATTTATCTTAACTTTGCTACGCACAGTGGGTCGGATCTACTATATTGCGGACATTGGAATTTTCTAACACGATACCTCGCTAAAATAAATGCCAATCGAGAGATCCTATTGTCCTAATTAAATATTGTCATATCACGTTTTACCATAAATCTAATAATAGGAAAAAAATAAAATGTGTATTTTATTGCTGATCCACTACGTCAATTTTTAATGTACTTAAGTGATTTCCCGAATCCCGAACAGGTCCAGGACCTAAAAAATATTGTAGTAAGGCAGTCTCCATTTTCTGTCTACGAAGTTTAGGTAAAAAAATTCTACCTATTCCGATCCCTGACTATAACAAATCAGTTTCATTCTTCAACGAATTAAAATCATTTAATGAACAAAATTAGTTATCGTTGCCAACTTAATGTCAACAATAATAAGAATAAAGTATACCAGCGGATTTATATTACATAAATAATGTACGACAAATCGCGTAGTTGAACACGTCATGTTTTTTTCCATCGAAAGAAAAAGTTACGTGCACCACATGCCATCGTCAAGTTCGAATTTCAGAAACCTTTTCCATGCTAGCGTGGAAAAACGCTTTTGCGCGCAGATTTCTAATGAGAAAGTAAGCTTTTGCTAGTGAGGTGAAAAATTAGATAAATAAAAAAAAATCATTCCGGGATTTTAGCGAGAGGTTTTAACTACTCTAAATATAGTCTGCTAAATTCCAGTCTCTGTTGATTAATCAATGTGTATTATTATATAGGAAATGAAACTATTTTGTCGGATCTAAATCGTAAACCTATAAGCCTGTAAATGGTCCGAGACGTTGGTTTGTTGGAAAAAAAACAATAGATGCGATGTAGATCCGAAAAAATACTTTCATTTCAATCGCGAATACCTAAGAATTCGTAATGTGTAGTATACTTTATTTGCTATATAGTTCTAGGTACGCTATGAATTAATAATAATAATATACCAGACAACCACTCAAACTAGGGAATTCCCTCTACACCCACACCAAACCCAATTTAGAAAAGTTCATTTTCCTATTTGATCCTACCGGAAATAGAAACCAAGACCTCTTATTGATCCAGCGCCCTCCACAGTACCGTTGGGTGAACGAAGTCATCAAAACTAACATAATAATAAAATAAGCTGAGAAAAATAAAGTAAATAATAATAATTGGGAAAAATCTATTGGGATCGATCCATTATCACGGACAGAACTATTCTTGCGAATGTGCCTGATATTGTGATATTGGATCAATCGCAGTCGAGTCGTTTCTTGTGGACGTTACCGTCCCGTCTCGTGAAAGCCGAAACCGAGGAACGCCGGAAGTATCTCGACCTGGCGCACGAGATCACCGACATGTGAGATGTGGCCTCCACTGAAATAATCCCAATTGTTTTGTCCGCAAATGGGTTAATTCCAGTCAGCCTTGCTAACAGCTTGAGGCGGTTGTATTTCTGGGGCGTGTCGCTTCCAGCATAAATGCAGAAGGCGGTCCTGATCGATACGGCACGTATTATTCGCCGGTCCTTTTAATTCTTGAACGTGAGTCTCTGAACCCGGCCGACTGTGCCTTTGCCGTGGAATACCGCCTCTCCCATTTAAAAATTCAAAATTAATCTTTTAGACCTTGGGAAAGGCGAGAGTTTCAAATAGATATAATAATAATAATAATATATTTACTTCCAAGTGTTAGTTCACAAAAAACATTAAATCTTGGATAAGGTTTGAATATTACAAGATAATTTCCTGACTCTCATAAGCTATGGTAATTACATTTTCTCGCTGTGTAGTTTGTGTAATTACAGGAATGTTATAATAACAAATGTTAAACCGTTATAGGAATTTCACAAACCTATTTCCTCTACGAATCATTTTCAATACGGTAGACCGTATTGGCCAATTTTGGACAAACCGGAGAAGAATCATGTTAAAGTTGAAGGTAATATAAACAACTCATTTATTTTTAATTACGGGCAATTGCAATATCATTTGTGTTGATTATGGTAAATGCATTTTCTATTGCATACCCCTTCATGCAGCTGAGGGAGGCTTAGAAAAAAGGAATTTTTGAAAATCTTTTGACTCAAAACTTCGATTGCTTTGGACTGTTTACAAACAAAATAAAAGACATTTTGAGCCATTACCGCCGACTCAGTGTAAGCGACCAAAACAAATTTTACAGGACATTGTTTTTTAATATTGAAATTAAATGTACCTAACTACAGAAACGTACATCAACTACATGTACGATTTTCTAAATTGAAGTTAGTTTTTTCTGGATCGCAAGTTATTGTAACTAAAATTTACAATCACATAACGATTTACATAACAGAAATTCAAGAATTGAAAATTTTCTCCAAACATTTAAAAGAATTCTTCATAAATAAAAGTTATTATAATATTAAAAATATTTCAAATGACAAAATGTAAATTATGTAATTAATCTGAGATACTTCCGATATCCTTCTCAGTTTGTCTTACGCATGTATTATTGTAATGATTTATTTAATATGGTCACAATTTTATTTTATTACTTTTATAATGAGTAAGTGCCTTTAACACTTTACTGTGTCATTACAGGGTGTCACATGTACGTTTCAAACCATTGTACTTAATACAATATAAGTGTGACAATGCAAATAATTATATAATTTCCTAACCCATTGTGTAACAGCTACATTTTTCAAACAATTGCTGTCTCTATCTAAAGATTTTTGATATATAGATTTTTGCATATTTATTTATTTAAAATAAATAAATATGCAACAAGATGCAATGCATTTTTTGCCACTTTGTTAACCACGAAATTGTGATGCACTGTGTCTGTTACGATAACAAGTGGTGGGGTCGATTACGTTATGATTTTTTAATATTTATTCGGCCGGTTGCACTGAGATATAAAATTGAATTTTAATTTTAATAGCAGTAGAACTCCATGTGAACACATACACCGTACACCGTACGTCGTATCTACTATGTCGTACCTACTTATTAATGTGTACAGATATTTGCCAATTGGTTTGGCATGCGCTTATCTGATTCTTATTACAGTTGTAATAACGCTAAAAATGTGGCCCCAAGCCGCGTCGAGCCCACGTGTTTAATGTTCCCCAAAATCAATCTTGATCTTGTAGTGCAGACCATCAGAATAAGACTAGACTTTAGTAGCAGTAAAGCTTCTTGTGAAAGAGTTCGTCCAGAGAAGTACTGCCACCTTACTTATTTCTGCCACCAAGCAGTAATGCCAGCATTACTGCGTTCCGGTTTTGAAGGGTAAGGGTGCTGGTGAAATAACAGGCATATAGGACCTGGCAACTTATGTCCCAGGGTGACGGGCGCAGTGGCAGTGCCCCTCAGATCTTTGCGTTTTAAAGCTCTGGATGGCACTGCAACTGTTAGGTTACCATCAGATGCACGACTTGTTCGTCCCGTCACTTGTTATTATATAAAAAAAACAGTGGAGCTAACGATAAACTTAGCTTTTGCCGTAATTTCTATTTGATGTAACGTTGGCGGGAAACGCTGTTTAGGTAAAAGTGTCGCTTACGATAAGTCGGCGGTCATGACTTGATTTCTTGTCTTATACAATAGTAATAATAAAAGAACGCATACGGTACAAATATACATACATATACGTGTTATTTATCCGGATATAATTATATCTAAAAAAATAACTATATTTGAACATGGCCGATCTGATGCAACCATTTCTATTACGTTTCTTTCCAGAACATGAATCGAGTCGAAACATAGAAGCTACGTTGCAGAAGATCTTTTTTAATTAATTTCTTTCTTTCTTTTTGTTCTCAGTCAAGAACCAGAATCCTCATATGCGTATCTATAGTGTTCTCGAATGGGCCGTGCTACTATACGACGGGAAACAGAGTATATGCGATTAAATTTAAAAACAGCAACAGTATTGATATTGGCAACGACGCTATTTTTTCGGATCGAAATCGCGTATAATTGTTTTTTCTAACACACACTAATTTTCGGGCTCTTTTCTACAAGTCCCGTAGTTACATCAGGGGCCCTACTCTGGAAGCATGAAAAACGTAGTTACGGCCGTTTTCTACGGAGCTGGACGTCTACTCCTGTTCTCTTTTGATTTACATGAGGCGAAAAATTTCGCGACGACTGCCCAGTTACCACGCCTTCATGTACATTAATGGCGAATCTGAATTCTATTTACTAGGCAACAACATTTAAATTTCTCTGAGTAATACAACGGCGCGGGCCGCCGTGTACACCAAATTCAAGTCAGACTCGCCAGTGTGCCCGAGACGCTCATTTAAGTTAAAACATAAAAGCTAAATAAATAGACCTTATTTTGCCATGACAGTTAGACGCACGCGGTCGCTGTGCGGCGGCAACACAGGCTCCGCTCGTGAGCGCGATAAAATTCGTGTCAAATAAATGCACCCTAATTGTTTTGGACGTAGAACATGAGTAGATACCTTACTCTCGGAGTCCGTCAACGAAAAGAAAGGCCCGTTTGAAACTGACAAATCGCGTTGTTATATATTCTCAATTCTAGCCCCGATTGAAACTCAAGTCTGTAGGTCATCTATAGTGAGAAAACGGCAGTATCTACGGATTTCGTGCTTCGAGAGCAGACCCCTAACCTTGCATAGACCATGTAAAGTGTTCGAAAAGCTGGTTTGTTTAACATATATGCGCCATTTATATCTGAAAAAACGAAAAACAGTTTCATTTAATTTTCCAATTTGTAGTTACAGCAGAAATTTAAACTCGTATCGTATTCAAGAATTTTATTATGAATTGTACATGTTTATCCTTTTTTATAACATTCTTTAAATGTATTATTTACACTATCCATTTGTTTTATTTTGAAAACATTCCACTATTATAATAGACAATACATAAATAATTTGAAATATTTGAATAAAAATAGCCGTATTAGCCTAATGGTTTGGAGTACCACAACTTATGCAGAGATCGTGAGTTCGAATCCGGGCTTGCATCTCTGAGTTTTGGAATTTATGTGCGAGAGAACAATGGCAAAATCATAGTTAAAAGAATTCATTAGCGTCTTCGAATGTCTTATTTACAAGTTTGAAGAAAATAAATTTATTAGGGTTTTCAAATTATCATAGCGGCCTATCTAAGGGTCGTATTCCAGAACTCTACTCAATGCTAAAGTCAGGACTTGAGTATGATTTCAAGCACTGGAAATACGACCCTAATGGCAAGGACTTGAGTATGATTTCCACTGCTGGAATACGATCCTCAGTCTGGAAATAAAATCATCATGTAACCGGACTGATATCTTCAACTACAAGTTTATTAGTTTCTTAACGTTGAGCGACATCTAGCCGCCAAATGTACTGGGGGTCTACTCTCGATCTCCGTCCGACATCCGTCCGAAACACTTACTGTCAAATAAGTAATATTCGACATAATTAAAAGACAAGTATCCAGTATGAAGCTTCGTTCGCATCACGCGTCTTTTCATTTGGTCAAGTATTGCTTATTTGGCAGTAATTGTTTCGGACGGATGTCGGGCGGAGATGGAGAGTAGACCCCCTGTTTCGATCGATTTGTAATAAGCTAATAAAAGATTAACTACCTACTTAATTACAAAAAATAAAGTCGGTAATTTCTTATTCAAAATCCCACGAGAGAAAATGGTAAATCTGAAAAAAGGTTCCCAAAGTCAGGGATAGATCGTACCCAAGTTTCACAAAAAAATATATGTTACCTGTGTATGTTATTAATTAACTCAGTGTTTTGTTATGTCTTAACTTCATGCATTTTGACTATAGCAATATACAAAATAATGTCCTCTGAACTTTCATCACGTCACAAACCCTCCGCACCATTCAGCTTCTATTAACTCGTTTAAGGCTTCTGTAGTTTGTTTTCATATAATAATATACCGAATATATTTTATTCAATTACGTAACACATAACCTCCAAAACTTCAAACTGGAATATCTTTAATTTCTGACTTCTCAGAATAGTTAACCCAAAACAAAATTTGTTCAGGAATTTCAACTCTATATTTTCACAGTCTTTTCATAAACAGACATATACAAATTATGTCAACAAAAACTTACATGGGAGTTTGCCATTGTCCTGGTAACCTACCACAAAGTCGAATTTTTTTTCCGAAATAACGTATGTTCGAATTTTCATTACACCAAAAACCGAATTATAACGAAACCGTTGTTATTTCAGAATATACATAGATCCCGCATTAGGCCAATGTGGCAGACTATGGACTGAACCATAAACCCTCGCCTGAGGAGAGACCAGTGCCCTGCAGTGGGTCGTATAAATTGCGTTAGTAGCGGAAATTGCCCCTTGAACAAGTTAATCTCTATAGATATGAAATTATATATAACGAACTACGACTAAGGTCAATTGTATAATAGGAAATGATAAACATAATAATGATATTAATTAAGAAGTTTATTATTTTCTTCCTTTTCTTATCGACTCAAAAAGGAATAATCATCCAAGGTTAAACTTAAAGAAGTTACTGCTTACTTGACCAAAGGGTCTAGTAAGCAGCCACCTCTATGCCCCTATCAGCAGACAGTAGACACGAGAAATGTTATTAATATTATTTGACACTCAAAGATATAATTGATAAACAGCAAATAATAACTCCCATTCGCAAGAAAAATAACCAAGAAACTGTGAAAGATTTACGTCCCATAAGCATCTTTAAAAAATTCTAGAAAATATCGTGTACTTGCAATTATCAAAATTCTTAAAGGCAAACAATATTCTGCCTGTGATGCAGTTCGGTTTCAGGAAGGGGCGTAGTACAAATGCAGCCTTGCATGACGTCATAGACGAAGTTCTCAGGGCTCAGGATTCTGGCAAGGGAACTGCTCTGGTACTTTTGGACTTTTCCATGAATATTTACTTATTTCAAAATTAAAATACTACGGTTGCGACTCATCGGCTTTGCAATGGTTCAGGAGTTACCTTACCAGTCGTGGTGAATGTTTACCGGCCCACGGCACCGACCCAACCGGCGAGAGGTAAACCCGGGGAGTTTTAGTGGGGTAGGCCCTCCAGTCTGGAGGGAGAGTCCCCACATAACCCCTGAGTCTCCCTGGGCTTAGGGTAATCGCGTAAAAGCGTATCTATAAAGATTTCCACCTCGTCAAAAAAAGGAGTTACTCACTTCAAAAATCTGTGTAGTGTGTTTATATTCTTTGACGCAGTGTGTCTAGAATCGAATTTTGTTGTAGCTTTGATCTATTCACATTACGTGTATAATTATATTATATACTAAATATATTATACAACATTAAAACCTCTTTACAATCACAACTTACTCCTACAGATGTAATTATATTCAGATTCGCTCATGCACTTACATGTCAAACAGGTTATTTTAGATGCATTATTTACACTTTACTATGTATATTATTATTGTCAATGTATAACTTTACTCATAGTCGTTATATTTTTGCTTTCAAATAATTTAATCCCCTGACTGAAAACCAGCGCCTTAGGAAACTTTGGCGTATACTGTGACAGCGCCGTTTCACTGCTATGACAATCATGTTTTGTTTTTTCTTTTATGCTTAATCTGTATTTGTGTTAATTATATCAGTGAATAAAGTGTTTATCTATCTATCTATTATTATGTTTAAGCATATTAAATTAGTATTTGGTATTAAAAAATAATATTTGATCCTCTTTGTTTATACATATAGGTCAAATCTTGGTTGTGTCCTCCATTCAATAGGTTACGTTAGTATAATAGGTATACTAACGTTAGTATATTATGAAAAAGTAGAGCTAGAAGCGAATTTGCTTGGGTTTCCTTCAAAATGTATAGTAGTATCCTCTATATACAACCGTTCTGAACGTAGAAACGAATCTACGTAAGTATGTAAAGAATTATTATATAAAGATATTATATAAAGAACGCCCGCCACCGGCCGCCGCCACCAGCTGCGTCTTTGTTTTAATTTTTTATTTAAAGGAATTTTGCCTTATCTTATAGAGGATAAAGTTTATGTTGCATTTGCTCGTTTTAATGCATCTTTGCGATTTAAAGCTCTGAGTGTCACTGGACGTTCGTGTCGTTTGCCGTCTGGCGCACAACTTGTTCGCCCCGTCACTTCGTATGAAGAAAAAAACTTATTATATTATAAAAAAAATGGTAAATCAAAATTGTTGTCGCTACTAGCCTAAACTGGTGTCACTCTCGTGGACCCCTCATTATCGTCTCTCGCACCTTCTGTTTTATTTCGCTTTTGTGGACCCCTGGGGACAAGAGATATAACAGAAACCACACATACTTTTTGTTTATGTAAAGTAGTAGCAGTAGAGCTCCTTGTGAAAGAGTTCGTCCAAGGAAGTACTGCCACCTTACCTATTTCTGCCGCCAAGCAGTAATGTCACCATTACTGTGTTCGGTTTTGAAGGGTAAGGGTGCTGGTGAAATTACAGGCACATGGGAATTGTCAACTTATGTCTCAGGGTGACGGGCTCAGTGGAAGTGCCCCCAGTGCTCAGGTCTTTGCGATTTAAAGCTCTGAGTGGCACTGCAACTGTTATGGACAGGCGTGTAGCTTTCCATCAGGCGCACGATTTGTTCTTTCCGTCACTTGATATTATATTTTTTTTTAAAGTCAAATTCTGTCAAAAATAGATCATAATACAATTTTCCTAGGAACTCATGAATGACATAAAGACATGTAAAAGTTAGTAAATTTTCAGAAACAGAAAATTTAAGGTGAATGACAGCGTCTCGCGGAAACTAGTAATTGCCCTAGTGACAATACGTGTAGCAACTAATTAACTGATTATATTTCAATTAGCAAGTATACCGTGCACACTTCAATATTGTACCCAAAATCAATAACATAAACATTAATTGCATTCGATATTAAAACAACCATAACTTTTTTATTAATACAAAGATCGAACAATTTGAAAAAAATCCTTCGATCCTGCTGGATTCCAGTAAAATGTGCTGAAACTATGCCAAGCCACGGAACGACCTAGCGGACTTTACGAATCGTTCATCCATTGTAGTACTGCCATCTTACCTATTTCTGCCGCCAAGCAGTAATTACTGTGTTCCGGTTTTGAAGGGTAAGGGTGCTGGTGAAATTTCAGGCACGGGACTTGTCACCTTATGTCTCAGGGTGACGAGCGTAGTGGTAGTACCTTTACAATTTAAAGCTCTGAGTGGAACTGTAACTGTATGGACTGGCGTGTAGCTAACCATCAGGCGCACGACTTGTTCGTCCCGTCACTTGATGTTATAAAAAAAAGCACCATCTATGTCTATAGCGAATATAATAGAACCGAAATCTATTTTTGAAAAATCCGGATCGTAGAATTTTTTTCTAAGTGCGCGATCTTTGTATTAATAATTATAACAAACTTGTTGATTTTACAAAAATAGTTTAAATATCATCGTAGTAAAACATTGTCAGTCAACTTTAAAAAATTACAATTTTTTTATAAAAAAATTGACCTCAAAAGTTTGTGGAATTGGTCCGTCTACTTGCCAAGTTTTATTGAAATCGATTAACGGAAA